GGTTGCCAAACAAACTATGTTAAAAATAAAGAAACTGCAGCAGAAAGGGGCTGCAGTCTTGTACCGTCTTTGTGTGTGTCTGTGTCTCTTTGTCTCTGTGTTCATTCCTCGTCCCTAGAAACGGGCGACGACACATAAGTCCATTATGTGAGCTGTTGCTCTCCAGGTTACAGTTGTCTGTATGAATTTTGTAACCTCACTCAGTATGCAGAGGCCTACACTGACAAGGAGGAGGACGGTTATTAGCGGCCCAGCCAGAGGTTGTAGCCATGAAGTCCATTGTCCTAAGTCAAAATCCCAGGTTTGTTCTAATTCCTTGTTTCTTTTCTGGATTTTCTCTCTTAGCTCCTTGACTTTTGTGTTACTACTCCTATCTGGTTTATATAGTGGCATCACTCTTCCCCTTAGCCATAACTTGCCACCTGAATATCACTTGCATTACTAATGCAGGAGAGAATGAAATATTGGGATTTACAGGAATATACAGGTCCCCCCCTTTTCAGCAGTGAGCAGGTCTAAGGCCCGTCTGTAAGGTTAGTGCTGCTAGTGAGTTCCGTCGACTGTGGAGGAACAGTAGGGAATCTACTACTTGTTCCATGTCTTCATTTAGTTCTTGGGATAACTGGTGGCAGATGCTCAGGGATGTTCCTAGGCCACCTACTCCTGCTCCTATCCCAGCAGCAATTCCTCCCCCATGAGGATCGGTGCTAGTAAGACCCATCTTTTCTGGGTGTTTGGGGGGGACTTAGTGCAGCTTCCAGTTGCTGGGTTTCAAAGATAGAAACATCTGGGCTGAGGAAGACCTGGGTGCAGGTCCCGGTCCAGTTTCCTGGGAGGTAGAGGTAGGCAATGTCTCCACAAAGAAAGAATATGCCATCCTGGGAGAAGGTGGCAGTGACATTCTTGGGTAAGGTTTGATCATTTGTGCAGAGTTCACCTGGTATGAATCCCAATATTTCATTCTCTCCTGCATTAGTAATGCAAGTGATATTCAGGTGGCAAGTTATGGCTAAGTGAACATTGTATACTACTGGGCCCACCAGAGATGTTTTGTTTAGGCCTGGGATTAAAATGCTGGAGTTTCAGCCCGGAGGCACGGGGACCCCAATATAGACTCATTTCTGGAGTAGTAAACAGACCTAACATGAAGTATGGTCGGGTAGGTCCTGGAGGGTCATATTGAGGAACTGGGTTATTAGGGGAGAGTTTTCCAGGGGTTTGGTGATCTTCCATACACTAGTAAGATCTGGCCTCTTATAAGTTGACTCTGTTACTGAGGCTATATTAATAAGCTGAGCCTTTTTGTCTTTGAACTGTTGAGTTTTAGCCTAGTCTTGGACTCCTCCCCTGTCAGACATCCCCTAGTGGGTGAGGTAGTTCCAACAAGCCGGTTTGCCCTTTGGAGCTATACAGGTTTGAGTGTCACCTATATTGATACCAGTCCAATATTTCTTTCCCCTGCTGTGACACACCTGAGCCTGACTATAACATGTGTTTGGCATGTAGGTGTGGAACATGAAACCTCCCATGGACCAGAACCCTTGAGTAATCCTGTTAATGGAGGGAATCCAAGTCCTAGCATAGCAAGCCTCAGGGCAGACTTTCTCTGCCAAAGTTGTTAGGGTGAGTGCCCCAAACAGGAGGAGGGTAGGAACTGAGGCAGGAGTAGACATCCTATAATGAGCCAAAATATCACAGTTAGAAACACCCTCTGTGGTCCAGTTCAATCTCCCGGAGCTACCAAGAAGAGTTCAATCCCCAGTAACATCGCTACAACCCCAACGAGGGTCAGGGCCAGTGGTCCCATTTACTCCTGTTCAGTCCTGGGTGTGGCTGTCCTCGTTGGGAGGTGGTTAAACTGGATCTTTAGCGGGTTCTGATGGTCCTGATGTGCAGTCCAGAGATCAGTTTCACTGTCTGGTTCAGCCTTTTTCACCCGGGAGTGGTATATCCATGAAGCGATACTTGCAACTTTAACAGCAGTGGAGGTAACTAGTATCACAGTATGGGGACCCTTCCATATGGGCTCTAGGGGTGTCCTTTTCCAGTCCTTTACCCAAACTGGAGGTTGGATAAACCCTGGGGATGTTGCTGGGGGTGGACAGGGAGACCGAGGGTGATAGGGGTTTTTTCTAGGATGGTGTGGTGGATATGGTGCATAGTTTTGGCTAAGGCTTGGAGGTGTGTGTTTATATTCAATTCCCCTAATTGTCTAATGTCTCCCCTTAATCGCTTGTTGAATGGGGGAGGTCTACTGAACAGGATTTCAAAGGGTGAATATCCTATGGGCCCTGGCATGCATCTGACCCTGAACAGGGCTAGGCTTAGCATGTCTACCCAGGGTAATTGTGTTTCCTGACATAGCTTCACTAGAGTGGTCTTGAGGGTCTGGTTCATGAGCTCTACTTTCCCTGAACTCTGTGGCCTGCAACGCTGTATGTAGTTTTCATTTGATTCCTAGTGCCTCGGTGAGGGTTTGTGTGACCTCCATGGTGAAGCTTGGTCCATTGTCACTGCTGAAGGAGAGTGGCAGACCGTACCTCGGGATGATTTCTCTCAATAGAATCTTTGCCACTTCCCTAGACTTTTTGGTCTTGGTAGGGACTGCCTCGACCCAGCATGAGAAGGTACATATCACTACCAGCAGGTATTTATAGCCCCAACATGGTTTTACTCCTGTGAAATCAACTTCCACATCCTCGAACGGAGAAGTTCTGGCGTACTGAATTCCTGGGGTGGGTCTTGGCCTGACGGCTGCATTGTTTTAAGCACAGGTCTGGCAGCAGGCGCTGACTGCTGCACCGATGGACAGAAGTTTGGCAATGTAGTAGTACCAGGCAAGTAGCTGCGTGAGAGTTGTTTTCCCTAGGCGAGTCATGTTTTAATGTCAGGAGACAATGGGATATGCTAGTTTATTGGGGATAAAGGTGTTATGGTTCCATAGGGGCCACCACCCATCTGCATCCTTCTTGGCCTTCTCCTGCTCTGCCCACTGGTTCTCTTCTGGTGTATATTTTGGTTCTTCAGGCCACTTTGGTGCTAACAAGATTCAGCACTGAGTTGGAGTGTTGTCTTCTGAACATCCTCTGCTGGCTGCATTTTTGGCTGCTTGTTCTGCCAGGCAATTGCCAGTGGTGATTGGATCTGTGTCCTTTTGGTGCCCTTGACAGTGGGTAACTGCAATTTCTTTCAGCTCCCAAACTGCCTCCCACAGTTGGAGGATTTCATCCCTATTTTTGA